CCCAGAGCATAATGGGAAATAAGGAGGACCCATGTAGGGGAAATTCCCCCGAAACACCAGTATTTATGGGCAAATGAAAGGGAAGGTCATTCAGTGAAGGAGACTATAAAGGAAATGTCAGAGAAGTCAAAGAACAGACAAATAAGTCAAAATAAGACAGTTTCAAGAAGTAAATGGCCAGTGATGTCACATGTAGCAGAGAGCTTTTAAGAGACTAGGACTGGAAAACACCCCGTTTTGCAATTAGAACATCCTTGATTATTGTGGTAGTCAGCTTTTCTTTAACATGACCAAAATGCCTGACATAACAACTTAAAGGTGGAACATTTAACTTTGGCTCACATTTTCACAGGATTCGGTTCATGGTCAGCCAGCTCCCTTGCTTTGTGCCTAAGATGAGGCCAGATATCATGAAGGAAGGGAGCAGCAGAGGGAAGCTGCTCAGCTCATGGCAGCCAGGAAGCAGAGACAGAAAGAGAGAGGAAGGGGCCAGGGACAAGGTATAGTCCCCAGAGACAAGGCCCCAGTGACCTACTTCCTGCAGCTGTGCCCTACCCGCCTATAGTTTCCACCACTTCCCGGCAATCCATTAAGCTATCAGTGGATTAATCCACCGATGAAGTCAGAGCCCTTAAGATCTAATCACTTCTAATCACTTCCCCCAAACCACCTCTAGACATTGGGGCATTTGGGAACCAAGCCACGTAAGCTTTGGGGGACATTTCAGATCCAAACTCTAACAAGCACTATCAGTAGTATTTTTTTTTTTTTTAAGAAAGAGGTAGAGATCAAAATCAGATAATGTGATGCACAGAGCAGTTAATAGAAAGGCGGACTGTGGAGAAAGCAAGTGCTGACAGTTCTTTTGAAGTCTTACTATGAGTCTGAGGTTCTCATGAGAGAAGTGAAGGGGAGGGCCTGAGGAGAACAGCCTGAATGTAGAAAGATGAGTGAGAAAGGGAGATGCAGCCAAGCAATGGTGAGAGGACGGGCAAGTGATGTGGAAACCCTTTGTCGAGATTGAAACCCAGAACATCTTATTGGCAAAACTCTGTACTTTGGTTTTCCTGTCAGAAGTTAGTTGTAGAACTGACCCAGGGTTAAATGGAGTTTTAGGGCATTTATGTGAAAGGAGAGGATTCAGGGGAGTTGATAAAAGAGCAGCACAGAGGATCAGCCAAGTTCTCCATGATGAGGGCCCACAGAGAGACCTCATCTACCAGGAGAAAATGGGGGGATTACAGAATTCAAGTTGAACAGCAGAGATAGTGGAAACGAGGTATGAGAGAGCTTGAAAAGGAGGTTTTCATCTCAGAATATGATCCTAGTACTTAAAATTTCAGAGGCAAAAACAAGATTTCACTTGGCAGCAAATTACTGTTTTGTTTCTTTTTGAACTTGCAGTAGTTTTAAGAGGTGTTTGTTTTCCTAATAGAACAAGAAATCTGAAGGTGAGCAGTTGACTAGGCTTGGCCAATGGTTCAGCAATAAGACCTGCACCTTTCTGATTCTCGGTCTTTCCCTCTCAGTCAGAAAAATGAAAAGCAGGAGAGAAAGGAGTAGCACCAGCCTCAGTTCTCTCCTTTTATCAAGAAAAACAAAAACCTTCCTAGCCAGGTGCCATGGCATAGGCTTGTAATCCCAGTACTCAGGAGGCAGAGGCAGTAGAATCACAAGTTCAAGGCCAGTCTGAGCAACTTAATGAGACCCTGTCTCAAAACTTAAAAAATTATTTTTAAAAGGCTGGAAATGTAGTAGAGCACTCAAGTGGTGATAGTGGTAGGGGGGTTAATCCCCAGCCCCAAGGATGGGGGAGCCTCTTTCTAGAAGTTACAGAAAACTCTACTTAGATCACTAGCTAGAAGTGACCACATGTCACAGTCTAGCTAGTTATCTAAGTAGAGTTTTCTGTAACTTCTACAAACAGGGATGACAATGGGAATAGTACACTTGCCAGAGGCTAAAGTAGAGTGAGCAAGAGAGAAGGGAATTGGAAATGCCCTGTTGTTTCCCCCAAAAAGAAATGTCTGCTTCAGAGACCAAGGTTCAGCCTCCTCGTATAAACCAATCAATTTAGTACAGGAAGCCACAGTACCTTGCCATGAACAACTAGCTTGCATTCAGTGATTGTAAAAAGACTAATGATATGAATGATCTGATGTCACCCATCCCCAATATTAGAAAAGTTACTCTATGTGCATGTCTTTTAAAAAATCATGTGCTAATATATTCATAACTTAATATATATGGACTATGCTGATGTGAAGATCAATCCCTGAGATAAATATGGAATCATGTGGCCACTAAATGATATGTGCAATTATGTGTGTGTGTGTGTGTGTGTGTGTGTGTTTGTGATGTGTGTATATCCACTAATCTCATTTTTTGACTGTAATCTCCCAGATTCTGTCAGCATTGCCTTTTTGTAGCTTTCCATTTGACATTTAAGAACTAGTTAATTATTTTGTGTTGTCTTTATTTGCCATGCTCAGCATTTCTTTGCTCAATATATTCCTTCTTATTAAGAACCCTTCGTAAATTTCAGTAAGCCCTCAGGAATTCATAAACCAGCTTTTCAGTAGAGCTCTGGGCATAATTTTTTGTGTTGCTTTAATAAAATGTTTTATTTTTACTGTAGATTACAGTCAAATGAAATGTAGTGCCTCTATTCAAAACTGCTCTTACCTTGCTCATTGCAAATCAGTTAATTACCTTGGCAGCTAAACATGCTGTTGACTTACTCCACTTGGATTTTTCTTATATTTGTAGTTTGGCAGTAGTCAATTGCCACATGATGAAATTACATCTTTCTGTTGTAGGAAAGGGAAATGTTTTAGTTTCTACTTAGGTTTTGTTCAGGTTATCTTTGATAGAGTCTGATCAATTAGTATAGCTTCGGACCTCAGACCACAAGTGAAACTGCAGGGTCTGATTTCTGCCTCTTCTTACTGATACTTAGGTAACTAACTCTACATGCCCCAATTAGTGTCACATCTTAGTGTCACATGACAGAGGAATCCAGGGTTTGAAAGGCTGTCACATGCCTTGAAATATTACAACAATGTTATTTACAGTTGCTTTTGTCTTGCCTGCCACATGAAACATCGTGAAGGCAGTGATCCTGCCTTATAATCAGACGTGAACAATGTTGACCTAAGAGAGGGGGGATGCAGTGTCTTTCCTGTCCAGCAGGTAGAGTTAGTGAATATCTAGGATGAAACCAAGCCTGGGAATAATTTAAAATCTACATTGCTACATTCCTTCTTCCCTACAGGTCAGCTCCCTTGAACAATGTTCACTTTTTTGTGTTTACCATATTATTTTGATGTATTTAGATTTAGAGTCTGGTTCCATGGGAGATAATTTAGCTTTATAAGTTATACATCTGGATTATCTATCCAGGCCCTTGTCTGGATCTGGCCCATTCTAGGAATAGAGACAGCACTGAAGGGCCATGACAGTTCTCACTGTGATAGCCAGAGGGTGGCTCCCTTCCCTGTGATGTGAAGCTACTGTCCAATTAGTCAGTGATGGCTCACCAGGTCCCATGTGTCCTTGGCCAGGGAGCCCTTCTTCCAGGGGACTTCACATCCTCTGATAGAGAAGATTTTCAGAGAGAAAATTAAAAAATGCTGATAAATGGGAATTGAACTTCAAGACAGTTGGAATTATTTTGTAAGGAATTTGTAGCTAAAATTCATTTTAATACAATCTGGAGAAATAACAGAATAGAGAATGATAATTGCTTATTTTTCTGAATTATATCAATATTGTGTAAGTTTTATATGCTATTACATATTTTACCTATATTAATTCATTTAACCCTATAACATAGGTACTAATTTCCCCATTTTACAAAAGAAACTAAGGCAGAGAGAATGTAAGTAATTATGTTTGGGTTATATAAAGAAAGTAGAAGAGACAGGATTCAAAACCAACCTTTGAAGCTCCAGAGAAGTAAGAGAAATTTGCAAAGGATAATTTGAATAATTGCCAGATTATTGTTGGTGATCTCTGAGAAATTGAGAGGAGCTGGAAATACAACTGAACTTTGGAAATAAACAAATATACTTCACACTTCTGGATTTATGTTCCTGAAGAAAATGTTCAAATGTGGTTAAATATTTTCATAAATTATTGTGGAAAGATCTAGAAGGTAGCTCTACCAATGTTTCCAAAAAGATCTTTTGAAGACCTTAGTTGGCCATAAGCTATATGAGTTTCCCTCCCCAGATTTTAGGCATCAGTACAAGTGGCAAGGAATTTCAGAAGAGAATTGATAATTCTGTCTAGGCAGGTCATGCCCATCTATGGAATTTATCGTGCTTGATCCTGAGTCCCACATTTCAAGGGAGATATAGATCAACTAGAAAGTTTTTGTCAGTAAAATTTGAGAATTATAATGTGATTCAGTCATTTGACGAATGACTGAAAAACTGGGGACATTTAACCTAGAATAGGGAAGAAGACCTCAAGAAGTCAAAAGAGAGATCTTCAATACTTGAAGCACTGACATGGATTGTAAAAAGATGGAATCAGAGCCGAAGATGAAAAGTTAATGAGGATAGATTTTGGTTTGTTGTTAGATAATCAGATATTTCAGAGGTGAAATAGGCTACTGCAGAAGGTACTGAGTTTTCTTGCACAAACATTTGTGTGAGCCTGCAGCCAGAAGCTGGTCAGCCACTTGAAGAGGTACAGAAGACACAGTACAAACCATGGGTCCATCCACACAACCAGTAAGGCCACTTCCAACTCTGAGATCCTGTTTCTATTATTCTATAAACTGATAGGAGACAGTGGCTTCTGTGTTTAATAGTTTCTATGTTTAACCAAGTACAGAAATAGTCAAGTATATCTTGGGCTTCTGTTGCTCTCAACACTAACAGTCACCAAATTAGTAAAAACAAGAATATGAACAACAAAGTAATATGTATTCCAGAAACATCTGTAGACATCTAATGAGACAATTAATGTTTTGTCCTCACCCCTTCTTCCAGTGCTTTCTCCTGCTCAAGAGAGTCACGTGAACATGGACCTTCCCCCAGTGTCCGAGCAGATCATGCAGACTCTAAGTGAACTCGCCAAGTCCTTCCAGGATATGGCTGACCGCTGCTTGCTAGTCTTGCATCTGGAAGTGAGGTATGGCCAGCCAAACGTAGGACTTTGCCATGGCAGTACATTATTATTTATAATCACTTGTGTGTTTCAGATGGAGTATCACCATAATTTGTGGTTCTTATGTTGATGTTGTCCTTTTTTTGATGATGAATATGATTTTTAGTGTTATTCAGTCACTTTGAAGTTAACTGACCACATTCTGTACTGTATGATGATCCAGTGTCGGCATGGCCCATATAGTCAGAAATCTGACATTCAGATTTGAATGTCAGTGCCAACTGGTTAGGTGATCTCATGTGAGCTAGTTAACTTTACAAACCCTCAGTTTTCTCTTCCTAAAACTGGAAATGGTAATTCCTAATCTAGAGAGATTTTCTGAGCAAAATAATACATACTGAGCAGAATGCCTGCTACACAGGAAGTGCTCCAAATGTGGTAGCTTTGCAATTAGGGTGACTATATTATCATTGATATTTTTACTGAAGGGGAAAGTCATGAAGGAAGTTACAGAATCAGGAACTATGATCTACTTCTTGAAGGTACTTAAAATCAAAATGCAGAGATTAAGTTAAATAATAATTGAAGAATATTATTTCGAATATGGTATATTCTTGTCCCTGTTCTTCCCCCTGAAGTGAGGAATACTCTGATTGACTTTGGCAGCCTCTATTATTAGGCATATAGAAGTGGGAGGAAGGAGGACTAAGAAGTCTTCAGTTGTTTTTTATTTGTTGAATAGGTATCTATTGAGTGTTTTCTTTGTGCCAAGCAGTGTTCTAAAAATTGGTTACAGCAATGGATAAAACTCAAGGTTCCTTCTCATAGAACTACATTCTGACAGGGGAAACAGTCAAGACTAGATTAAAAAGACAATTTCAAATAAGTGCTACTATAGTCATAAAATAACATAATGGGATCAATCAGTACTATTCAACAAAAAGATGATATGAACTAAGATGTGAGCTACATAGATAATTTTAAATTTTCTAATGAAGTTGAGCATCCTCAATGCAGAAATACAGAATGCAAAATTCTCCTTTGATTTTGGAACATTTCAAATACTGGATTTTCAAATTAGCAATTCTCAACTGGTAAAGTCTATGCAAATATTCCAAAACCCAAAAATCTTTTGGTCCCAAGCATTTCAGATAAGAAATACTCAACGTATAGTCACATTTGAAATAACAGAGGGAAATAGGTAAAATGAATTATAATCATATATTTAATTTAACCCACTATATCCAATGTATTTTGACATGTAATTAACATAAAATGATTAATAAGTTATTGTGCATTTTTTGTACTAAGGCTTTGGAATCTGCATACTTTGCATTTGTAGCATATTACAATTTTAGTCACATTTCAGGTGCTCGGTGATCACATGTGGCCAGAGCAGACTGGATGTTGCAAAATTACAAGGTTGAGTAGAAAGAGAATTTTTTTCTTTAGATTAAGTAGTCAGAGGAAATGTGACAAAGTGACAAGAAAAAGCCATTCGAACAAAAACTTAGGGGAAGAAAATTTCAGACAGAGTACAGAATAACATTTACAAAGGTCCTGAGACAAAATCAAGCTTGGCCATTTTGAGAAACAGAGAGAAGCCCAACATGTTTGTAGAATGATCAACAAGACCATGGGAAGAACTGTAAGAATAAGGTCCAAGTGACAGGCTGGAACCTGACCCTATGGGATCACAGAACCTCACCCTCATCTTATAGGCCAAGTGAATTATTCAGATTTTATTCTGAGGGTATTAAAAAGCCACAGGAAAGTTTTAAGCAGGGGAGAGATGTTAATTCATTAACATGTTTAAAAGAGATAGAAAGCTTGCCTAGCATGTGCAAGACCCTGGGTTCCATACCCAGTACCAAAACAAACAGAAAATCACTCTGGCTATTGTGTGGAAAAGATATTAGAGGGAGAAATATGAATGGAAGTAGGGTGGCCAGTTGGGACCCGTTAAGAGAACTAAAGTGGCAGAGGTGGAGTTGTAAGAGGTGTTGGATTTGGAACATATACTAAAGACTTATTGACGATTGATTGGGTTGGGTTGAGTTGCTGGTAGCAGCAGGAGAAAGGAAGGTTTCACGGAAAACCACCAGTGTGGGGCCTGGCAGTATTGTGGATGCCAAAGCCATTACCTAAAGTGAAAGACCAAAGAAGGAGAAAGGGTGGGGGAGGGATGATACCAAGAATTCCTTCTCAAGATACTCAGTTTGAGACGCTCATTAAACGTCTAGGTGGCAGTGTCAAGTAGACAGATGCATACTTGTGAAACTTCAGGATCAAAAACCTCAGAGGACCAGAAAGTACACTGTAGGGTGATACTTTTTCTTCTGTTTACTTTGGAGCATTATTAAAATCGATAGAATATTTTCTTTTCATTTGAAGTCTTACTAGATTTAGGTTTTAAAAATGTAAACAGGACTTTGGTTCATAGTAACATCTTTGGAATATGCTTAGACTCAAATTATACCTTGGGTATCTTTCAGATGTGTTCCTATCACTTCTTTTTTGTGCCACTTGCTTTTTTTATTCTTCATTATCTCGCCAATGACTTACTCCTTTATTGCTTATAAGCAACTTGTGAGTGGAACAAAAGAAGTAGCATTGCAGATTTGGAATCTATTTTACCCAGCATTATTTCTGATTTTATTTTTTACTTTAACCTGTTGAGAAATAAAGGCTCTTGCTATATGTTTTTTGATTTATTTTATGATAATTTTTAGATTTGTTTTCTATTTATTTTCATGCTGATAGTGAAGTAAGTCAGGCATTTTCTATGAATAGATAAATGCAATAGTCAAAGGGGGATAAAAACGCCCACTAATGTTCTGATGCCTCTGTTACCTGAGTTACAAAGAAAAACAAGGGAACACCAAATTAATTACTCTCACAACTCCTGGAATTTATGCTATTGATTGTGTGGTGGCGGGACGTGTTCTACATTCTGAATTTCTTACTTGGAGTGTAGTTAATTCCAAGTGGGATATTTTCAACACGTTTGAGTAAAATCTTTTAAATCCTTAACCTCTATTCTGTCCTTTTTGTTTCTGTACATCTTGGCAATACTATTCCTATAATGCTGAACATGTGTTAGCCATTATTTATTAACTTTACAAGAAACCATACAGTGCTATAACACTCTGCTGTATCTCCTTCAACTTTAGTTTAAAAACAGAAACGCAATTTTAGGCTGAATAACAAAAAAGACTGGATTTTAGAATCCTGAATGCAGAATTGTCTTTCCTTGACTTTGCAAACACTACACATATTTATTTTTTCTAAATTAAATGTACACATTTCCTCTTATAACATGATTTCAACATTCAGATTGTTTTTATTTTTCCATTTTTATTTTATTTTTATTTATTATTTATTTTTATTTTATTTTATTGTTCCATTTTTCTTTGTTCCTTTTAAACTATGGTTTATTAAGCTAGGAAATTACTCCATGTGTGGCTCAGACAGTAAATGTTAACACACTTTATTCTCTCCTACCACATTAACAATGAGGGGGTTGTACACTGGTTATACAAAATGAATAAGACAAATCCTACACTACCACTCTTGTGTGATAACGCCAGAACACAGGCATCTGCTAAGCTCCCTGTGGACCCAGAGTGCAAGGCTGTGGGAAAGACCATCAGTTCATCCACCATTGAGGACGGCCCCAGAACCTGAATCAGTCTTCTTGCATATTAGGTGCTCAGTAAAAGCATGATGATTTTTAAGAATTATCTGTTTTGAAATCACACTTAGATAAAATAAGTTCTAATTCCCCAAACAAAATTTGGTGCTCTTTGAAGGAAATGAATCGACTTATAGATTCTGTTTTCAGACAGTAGTCCACTGGCAAGTCCCCTGCTCGTATTTAAGAGGTGCAGTACTGCTAATGTTTGCTGTTTCCATCACCCTGTGAAAGGGAATCAACACTTGGCCCTGTTGTCCAGGAGCTAGTGTGATGAAGTGGCTCATTGGATTCTGTCTCTGGCACTTTTAGCCAAGAAGCCACTGTAATAAAAGAGCACAGAAAGAATAGAAAGGAAGGAAAAAAAAAGATTCATGTAAAAAAAAAAAAGTGATGGGATATGCCATCAAAAAATATAGAACAACTTCAAATACCAAAAATTGTTCTTATTCTCCCCAAAATCTTTATATCTATAGCCCATATTTTTCTTTAGTGTTTTAAAATTCAAACCAAAAAAAGTTCTCAAATCCAGGAAGTGCTGTGTGAAAGAACCCATCCAAAGAGCATTTGAACTTTTATCTGCGTCACTGTGGGTCACATTTAAGCACCAAATAGCCCCTTTCCACAGTTTGAGGCATAAGGGAGATGACACCCCCAGATTTGAAGGATGTAGTGCAGCCATTAAAAATTGTTAAAATTTTGTTTCCCATTTGAACTTTAGAAGAAGAAAATTAAGTTGTCATTTGATCTCAAGATGCCAAGAATGTCACCTTTACCAGCCGATTTCCCTCACTATCCAGAGGGCTCTGAGTGGGTTCAGCAGCAACTGCCCATCACTGTTGGCACCCTAAGTGTGCACTTTCTGAAAATCAACCATCCTGCTGTGTAATCAGCAGTGTTTGCAGAAAACCTGATGCCAAAGTCATGTTAAGGTTAGCAACAATATGCCAGAATTTAAAGGGAAAAAAAAACTTTATTTGAATTTGACTGATGACTATTTTAATTTCTTCACCTCTAATCATTTGGGAAGAAGAAATGTATACCTTGAACAGTGGTTCTCTCTCTCTCTGCCACCACTTTAGGATCTGATAAATTCTCACCTCCAATTCATAAGACTTCCCTGACCAGTATCTCTACTTTTAGTTGGTTCCATTCTCTATCAACACATATTATGCCTGAGTTGCCTTACCAAAGCTCATATCTGATAATACCATTTTATCTCTTAAAATTCTCCTAAGGCTCCCTGTGGCTTCTAACAAAGTCCAGACTCTCTAGCTGGTCTCCAAACCCTGTGATGACCATGACCTCCTGTCCTTTTCCCCCCAACTTATCTCATGCCTCGGTCATGATCTCAGTGAAGCAAGAAAGAACCACTCGCCATTGCTCAGAACCATCCTCTGCCTACTGTTTCATGCCTTCTTAACACAGTCTTCCTGTTAACTGGGTTTATGCCATCTGTAATTTAATTTAAAAATACCTTAGCAGACATGCTTTGATTTCAACTAAGTCCTACTTCCTTTAAGTTTCTACTGCAGTAATGATCCTTTGCCCTAATCATGAATCCCAGGGTTGTTCACTTTTCATTGTATAAGAAAGGTCATATTTGAGAGGAGGCTCTGACCAGTACCATTACTGGCATTTTTATCAGAACTGTACTCTTTGTCAATTAGCACATGAATGTCAGGATGAGTTTTTATTGATGAAACCAGTCACTACTTAATTAGCAGTTGTTTTGATGAGCACCTGTAAGTGAAAATGAACAATAGTTTATCAGGATATTTAGATTCCCTTGCCTGAATAGATATAAGAATGTCACACAAAACTTATCTCAAATGAATTCTAGAGACTAGGAGTGGAGTTCGGTGGTAAAACATGTGCCTAATATGCACAATGCCCTGGATTTGATCCCCAGCACCCCTCAATAGGGGGAGGGGTCTAAACTGAATGTAAAACCTAAAACTTCTAGAAGAAAACATAGGAGAAAAGTTTTGTGAACATGTTTAGGCAAAGATTTCTCAAATATACACCAAAAGAACCACATATAAAAGAAAAAATGGTAAGTCAAGCTTTTTTTTTTTAAGAGAGAGAGAGAGAGAGAGAGAATTTTTTCATTATTTATTTTTTAGTTTTCGGCGGACACAACATCTTTGTTGGTATGTGGTGCTGAGGATCGAACCCGGGCTGCACGCATGCCAGGCGAGCGCGCTACTGCTTGAGCCACATCCCCAGCCCAAGAACTATTCCTTGAAAGACATTTTTAAGATGAAAAGACAAGCCAAAGAGTGGGAGAAAATATTTGCAAAATGCACACTCCATAAGATTTGTTTCCAGAATATATAAAGAAGCCTCAAAACTTAATAACAAACAGCCCAACTTAAAAAAAAAATGGTCAAGGGATGTGAATATGTAATTTGCCAAAGATAATTGGATGGAAAATCACTAAAAAGTGCTCAACATCATTAGTCATTAGGATAATGCAAATAAATGCCACAAAAAGATTCCACAGTACATCTATTAGAATGACTGAAAAAAATGTTTAAAAACTGACACACTGAGTGCTGGTGAGGATGCAGAACAGCTGGAACTGCATTTTGGTGATGGCTATGCAACAAGAGAAATGAAAATTCATATTTACACAAAACCTGTACATTAGGTAGATTTATTTATGACCGTCCCAAGCTGGAAATAATCTCGGTGTCACCTAGTGAATGGATATACCTCCTGCCATTCAGTGCAAGACTGCTCAGCAATGACAATGAGTGAACACAGCAAGATAAATCACAAATGCTGTTTCAGTCAGCTTTGTTGCTGCTGTGACTAAATGACCTGACCAGCACAAGTGTAGAGGAGGAAGAATTTATCTGAGGCTCACAGTTTCAGAGGTGTCAATCTGCAGACAGCAGGCTCCATTCTTCAGGGCTCCAGGTGAGACAGGAACAACATGGCAGAGAGTGTGGCAGAGGGAAAAGGCTTATGTGGCCATCAGAAAGCTGAGAGACTCCACTCTCCAGATACAAATTTATGCCCACGCCCCAGCTCCCACCTCCTCCAGCCACACCCCACCACTTTAGTTACCACTCAGTCAATCCCTATCAGGGGATTAAATCACTGATAGGGTTAAGACTCTTCCAACCCAATCATTTCTCCTCTGAACCTTCTTACACTGTCTCACATGTGAGCTTTTCAGGGACACCTCACATCCAAACCATAATAAATACTCTGTGCATAATGAAAGAAGCCGAACTCAAAGGCTACATGCTGTCTGACTGCATTCTGAGGAGGACAAAACCACAGGTACAGAACATAGAGCAGTGGTGTCTGAGTAGGAATGACATGCAAAGGGACCCAGGGAATTTGTATGGTGGTACTTATGCTACTAGATGCATTTGTCAAAACTCATACAACTGTACACTGAAAGGGAAATTTACTGTAAATTATTTCTCAATAAACCTTTAAAAAGAAAGATGGGGTTGGAGTTATGGCTCAGTGGTAGAGCGTTTTCCTCACACGTGTGAGGCACTGGGTTCGGTCCTCAGCACCACAAAAATGAAGAAATAAAATAAAGGTATTATGTCCTCTACAACTAAAAAAAAATTTTTTTTAAAGAAGAAATATGACAGGCCAAGCCTACAGTTGTATCTTTGGGAATGATTTCCTGGGCTTTTGCCACCATTTCATTAGGAATGCTTCTTATATCTGATGCCAAATCCCTGGGTCATGGCAGCCTAACTCTGGATTAACCTCATGTCACTTCCAGCCAACAAGATCATGAAGGATCAGAAAAAGCACCTGATGCAGTGGAGAGTGAGGACTTTCTGGACTTACAGAAGCAGACTGTTTGAACTATACCTGCCAATGCGTGGCATTGATTTGGGGGGGGGTTGGGGGGGACGGATTGGATTGGGTGTTTTAGTTTATTCAAAAGAAATTCCTGTGTGTGAGGCAGAATCCAATGGCACTTGCTTTCATTACAATTTAAGTAGGCTCAGGGACAGAGCCAGTCCTCACCCACCTCAGATATCTCCAACTGTCACTAACATCAGCCAAAAGACGCCAAGGATAACCATGTCCAAACTGACTCAGACCAGCTCAGCCAAGAAATACCCTTCTTCCCAGGCTCACTCAGACATATTTTGAGACTCAAGTATTTCTTCCTGTTGTGACCCTTTCCTGGTACCCCAGGGTCACTTTCTGTGGCACCTCAGGTTGATGGGCTTTCAACGACATGTGTCCCTATGGGGCATTTTTTTTTTTCTTCTTCTGCCTCAGTAGGCTGTGGTGTGTTTAAGGACACAAACTGCTTTGTGTTCCCAGGGGCCCAGCTCAATTTCTAAGCAGTTCATAGATGCCCAGTAAGCAGGTATTTAAATAACACATTAGCAATGATAAACATACAGCTAGTAATGATAGCCGAGACTTCACTGTGTGCTTCCCTTATTCCCAGCACTGTGCCGTATACTTTATATGTAGTACCCCGTGAAGTAGGGGTTATCATCCCCATTTCACAGATAAGGAAACCGAGGCGTAGGGAGATAAAGTAACTTGCCTAAAGTCAGCAAATGTTGGAACTGGGTATCAAAACCAGTAGTTTGCCAACAAAACCTACACTTGGGGATCTGTGACCTCTGACATTTCCATTTCAACCTGTACTGACAAATATAATGCTTTCCACATTTCACATGCAATCCTAGCATTGAAAAGACTTGCAGAACTCCTCTATTCCTTATCAACACTGTATGGATCAGTAAAGACCTTAGAAGCCCACTTTGCTCCAGATCATTCAGCTATTCTACAGCAAAACTAAAATTGCTTTCTGGCAAGAAAAAAGGTTGGCAGGGAAGTACATAAAAATTTATGAAGCCACTGTCGCTTCAAATATTTTGGTACTCTGTCACAAGATCATTGTCTTCACTGGAAAGATTTATTATTAGCTGCTCTCATCTTTCTCTTTTTCAGAGTTCACTGTTTCCACTATCTCATCCCTCTGGCAAAGGAGGGGAACTACGCCATTGTCGCCAACGTGGAGAGTATGGATTATGACCCTCTGGTGGTCAAGCTCAACAAAGACATCAGTGCCATCGAAGAGGCCATGAGCGCCAGCCTTCAGCAGCACAAGTTCCAGTATATCTTTGAAGGTCTCTTTCTCTGGGAGTTAGGGGGGAAGGAAGGGGGAAGGTTTTCCTGATATTCTTTATTACTGAAGTGAAAAATTGTAGAAACAGGTATTTTGCTAGTTTGCTTGGATGAGAGCTGCAGAACCCAGCCATTCCCTGTACAAGTAGGTAAATAATACGGCTGCCATCTGCTCCTGATTGACAGGGAGATTTAATCCAAGGTAATGCAGATGGCTGCCTGCTGTCCACCTTGACAGACCACTCATGAGATTTGGTTGGACCATGAATTAACTAGAGAGCAGCCCATTAAAAAAAAAAAAAAAAGGAAGAAAGAAAAGAAAAACTCAATGAGGAGAGCACCCTAAAAAAATCTTTCATTGGCTAAAATTATCATTGGAGGAAGAAGTTTTCTCTCACAGATGCATCATCGCAGGAAAAGAACAGAAGCCCATGATTATAATGCAGCAATAATGAGGAAAACAGCATGCATACATGCATTGGAAGGAGCAGGCAGAAGAAGGATGAGAGGCAGTACCATCTAAAGACACTGACCTTCAAAATTTTTAAAAACATGGTGCCAGCCAAAAACTTTTTCAGGCTGAATTCCACTCATAGAACCCTGTCACTGTTATAAAATACCTCTAAGATACTTAACTTATGAAGATCAAAGGTTTATTTTGGTTCATAGCTTTACAGGTTCCCACCCATGACTGAGTCGACCCATTTCTCTTAGGCCTCTGGTAGGGGTCCTAGGTGTTAATGACAGGGAGTAAGTGGCAGAACAAATGGTTCAACTCATGGCCAGAAAACAAAAGAGAAAGAAGGAGAGGTCAATTTCCTCCCCATTGACTCAAGGACCTCCCACTAGGCCCCACCTGCTAAAGACTCCAACACCTCCCAATAGTGCCAGGCTGGGAACCGAGCCTTTAACACATGAGCTTTTGGGGCCACCTTTGCAAAAACAAGAAAAAGTGAAGGAAGAAACATTTACTTAGTTCTAAGTGTGCATAATTAAATCTAACTTTTAGATACAGTAATCTGTATGTGCCCCACATTGTTCTGAACTGGTATTCCTCAACTGAAGCACATGGGAGCACCAAGATTTGGCCTTATATCTCCCTGTAGGAGACCTATTAGTTTGTTGATGTCCTAGGCTGCCCTCTACCAAATTTCATAGACTATAAGACAATACTTAAGATTAAGAACAAACCCCCACTTATGGGCCCCCAGGAATGTTCACAGACATCTTGTGGGAACTCAGCAGCTAGCTCATGATCTGCTTTTCCTTTGTACTTTGTTTCTGATCACATCACTCCTAGTACCACTTTAGAGATGTACCCCATTGCCAATGCTGAGGTGTATTAATAAGCATTATTGCCAGTAAACCTCCCCAACCCCTTTTTGAGGTACTGGGGATTAAACCCAGAGTGTCGCACATGCTAGGCAATTGCTGTACCACTGAGCTTCATCCTTAACCCTAACACATTTTTTAGTTGATTGATTTTCTTACTTGTTGATATTGAGGTTTATTCACAATATTATCAATGCCCAATTTTGTATTGAAATATTTTTACTTATGTAGGTTCCCAATCAATTTTAAGCCAAATTGTTCCCCTTCCTGTTTTATGGGGAAAAAAAAGGAGAGACCAAAACAGATCACTTGAATTTACTGCTTCCCAACTGTCTGTACATAAATGCTCATTAATAGTTTATCACAATCTGACATATTCCTTAAGCCTTGGCATGGTGGCTGTAAGTGAATGTGGCAGTGCAGGAACTATAGATATACCAGGTTTTCTTGATAACATACTAGGACAATGTAGAAATGTTCTGACATGATTGTAAGATGAGCCGGTACAGCCATCAGAAGTGTTTCTTGTTCATTTCAGTTTATGGAGATTTAGAAGAGATGTCCTAATCTGTCTTCTCTTTTCTCCCCACTGCCCTGCTGACCCCCAGGCCTGGGACACCTCATTTCCTGCATCCTCATTAATGGAGCCCAGTACTTCAGGCGTATCAGTGAGTCTGGCATCAAGAAAATGTGCAGGAACATTTTTGTTCTTCAGCAGAATCTGACCAATATCACCATGTCCCGGGAGGCAGACCTGGATTTTGCAAGGTAGGAGGGAAGATTGGGATCAACTTCTTGTACCAAAGCCAAGGCTCACTACCTGGAAAGTAACCTTTTAAATGGATTCTCGATATGTAAAATGCTTTTGTTAAAAATGGGGACGGGAAGATAGATGTTCTTAGCTGATCAAGAAAACAATTCCACAAAATTTTGTTTAATGTTTAACATTCCTTGGGCAGATCATTTTTCCTGTCTAACCTAAGTTCTTACTATAAATCTTTAGCAACTTATTTTTTTAAATAAAAGTCACATATGCTCATTGCATAAAATAAATGAGCTAATATGCAAAGAAGAATATCAACATTTGTCACAAATTTCTGATCCAGGGGCCACAATCCTTGGTGCACCCCCTTCTTGGCTTTTGTTGCACATGCTGTATGCATATACAACTTTTCACACACATAACTGCATGTTATTTCTCTTTTTGCAAAATCAGAGCTATGTTAATATAATTTTATGTTAATTTATTTGCACTTTTCCATATCAATAATGTTCTTTGATACTATAATCTTTTCAACATTCTTAATACTTCTTGAAAACATAATACCTAAACAAATATTTCATAGTATAAAAAATCATGATTTATTTTTTAATCAGCGTGTGATTATTTGGACATTTGAATTTTTTACCTCCTTTCTCTCATAGTAAATTACAACTATCAAATGTATCTTTATAAGAACCTATTTCTTTATCTCTTCTGTCTTGGTGCAACTGAAACTCATCTCCTCTTGTTTCCACCAGAGAATAATAGTTATTCAGCACTGGCCTTTCTCTTCAGGTTTGCTGATCTCAAATTTTTTTTGATACTTTTCTTATAAGATTCACTTTTAAATTTGAAGAGTTAATTTTCTTTTCATTTGGTCTTAACACTGTACCTTAAACAATTAAACCTTTGGTACTTCAATGAAAGTTGAAGCAGTATTGAAGCGGATGGATGATAATTAAGGTACCCCCCACGCTCTGTTGCTGTTTATACCTAGGTGGATCATTCCATAAACTTCTTCATTTTCCAAAAGCCATTATGGTTAGAAGTCACTTATTTTTTATAGTCCAGAATGTTCCTGACTATTACTTCTGTTTCTTTTCATTTGATTTTTGATTCCTTGAAAAATTCAGGATAAATTAAAACAATTATTGAGTTATTTAAGGGGGTCATAAAACATTATGTTACTTTGACAATTATGAAGACATATTTTCTAGTATCTTTGTTTTGAAAATGAACCACACATGTTCATTTTTAACCTTTCTGCCCTTATTACTCCTTTTATTTCATTTACTGCATTGCCATCCATTCCTATGCTTCTCTCTCCTCCTCCTTCCCTTTTTCCTCTTATTTGCAGGAAAGAGAGTATGTAAGAGAGAGAGAGAGAGAGAGAGAGAGAGAGAGAGTGTGTGTGTGTGTGTGTGTGTGTGTGTGTGTGTGTGTGTGTATTAAACTCCCTGTTCTAGGTAAATTTCGTGGAAAGCCTTCCTTTCTCAGATTAGGGAAACCAGGTGTGACTGAATGCTGCATTTATTTGGCTGCTCTTATGGGAAATGATCTCATTATTGAATTAGTCTATTCATAATAACATTGACAAGGGGAAGTTAAGAACATGGAGGCCTGAGGGATACAGAGAACCATTACTAATTCTCTGAGGAATATAATTCCTAAATTCAATCATCCTTTTTAAATGATTTTTTTTTATTTAGCTGAAATAAGTAAATTAACACAGTTCTTGGCAGACAGTATGGGGCCCAAACACGTGCTAAAAACACTGGTGTCTGAATCATGCAGTGCTGACTGGGCAGTATTAAGGTTGGCATGAGTGGCTGTGTTCCAACGAAGCATCTGTTCAGGACATAATCAGAGAGCACCCAACTCATGTCTTTCACAGTTGGATTTGCGAATTATGTCCAAGGAAGTAGGTAAAAGCTGAAGTGACCACCTGGGAGAGCTTCTTCTACTCTTACTCCTTATTCTTAAATGGATTGTGAAAGAAGTAGGCTAGCATGAACACAGCGCAGATTATGTCCAGGAAGCCAATACTGTTTCTTCAGTGCCTGGACCAGAGTAGGTGATCACTGTGTGTCTTGACTAAATGACTAAATATCACATGGAGGTATGTTTTGCTGTTGATGCAGGGCTTGGATAATGACAGCTTAGTTTATCTTTAATACTCTGAAGATTTTATTTTAACCAGCTGATATGGTCAGTTTCCTTATAAGCTGATAAAAAACAAAGCACCCCCCTTACACTTCTTTCTTTTAGAGCAGAAAGCATTACAAAAACTAATAATGTAATAATTCATCATCTCTTTCTCTCATTTTCTCTTAATCTCATAGAGACACACTTTATAGCCTTACTTTTTTTCCCATCTTGCTTTTGGTAGGGACAGGTTTTGTGAAATGGGCTCCATCAATTCTACCAAATTTGAAGCTATGTAAAATAAATTTAACAGCAGTACCAAAATAGCCAGAAATAATAGACTGCAGCAGTGTGCCTCAGCATTCCTTAAGCAATGTCTAATCAAGCATGGACGGCATCTGTATTTCCAGCAAATCTCTATAGAAATGTTATCTTCTAGCACAGTAATTAATCACTGGTTGCCATGTGTCAGAAAACTTATTTAACAAGAAGTTGCACAGTGCTTGTAGTTTTTTACTTCCATAGCCTTTCTGGCCAGTGGGAGATATAACACCGTTCTGTACTCAAGAAATGAGGGATCTGGGACTGGAGCTGGGGGAGCAGCTCAGTGGTAGAGCACTTGTGTAGCATGCTCAAGGCCCTGGGCTCAATCCTCAGCCCTGAAAAACAAGAAGGAGGAAGAGGAGGGGGACAGGGAGGGAGAGAAAAGAAATGAGGGAGCTGGAGTGATTGATTCCCTTTGTGTTGACTCTTATGATTATGGCATTGTTGTCTGTCTTTCATACACAACAATCTTTGTTGCACAAAGGATCAAGACAGTCTATACTGTTACCAGAATTTCTGAACTTCGATCCTTTATGGCAATGATTGCTTAAGCACTGCTATATTTTTGACCTGTACAACCATACAGTTATTGTACAGGTCATACTCAAAAATATCCTTTATCCAGGAAGATCGCTGTAAATTAACTAGAAAGTGGAAGGGCTTTATACATAAGTGTGCCTCCTTTTCAGTTCCTTCCATCACAGATCTTTTTTTTTTTTTTTTTTTTTTTTGTATCAGGTATTGAACCTAGGGACACTTAACCACTGAGCAACATCCCTATTCTGTTTTTGTATTTTATTTAGAGACAGGGTCTCACTAGGTTGCTTAGGGCCTCACTAAGCTGCTGAAACTGACTTTCAACTTGCTATCCTCCTGCCTCAGCCTCCGGAGCTGCTAGGATTACAACCATGCACCATGGTGCCAGACGGATCATCTTGAGCTTCCATGTGTGTTTCAAAATGTAAGAAACACTAAAAGCCCCAAAGATTTGCAATGATGAGTATGAAACAACAGAGGTCTGGATGGGTATTAAAGGCCCCAAGGTGTATCTGGCAGTCTTTGTAATTGAAGTGAACCAACTACCTATTCAAAAGGAACATCCCCAGAATTCTCTTCTCATCTTCCTTCTCTCCCCCATCCTCCCTTTTGTATCTGTGACCCTTTTAATTTGCCAGGCATTCTTCCTCTATCCTGTCGCTCTGCCTCCTGACTTGCTTCTTTAAGGTTTCATTGCTCCTTGAATTTCCCCCCTCATTTAGTACTTCTTTAGACGGCTGTCTCTCATTTTTAAATCTGACAAAGATAAAGGAATGAAAGGTTAAGTTTCAGAGAGTTGTAAGGAGACAAGTTCTGTGTGTGTGTGTGTGTGTGTGTGTGTGTGTGTGTGTGGTGTTGGGAATTAGAATCTGGGGCCTTGTGCATGCAGGGCAAGCACTCTACCAACTGAGCTATATCCCCAGCCCCAGGAGACAAGTTCCAACACACAAGAAAGTTTCCTCATCCTTTTATTCCATTCCTTCAGCAAATATCATTTGGGGTATGCAATCTGATTAATAAGTAAAATGTAAAATATGTCAGATGATGATATAAGCAATAATGAAAAGCTAGGCATGAGAAGGAGATTGGAGAGTGCCAGGGGTCTAATCAAGATAACCTGAAATTTGGAGTGTTTGTGGACATCCTTAATGAGATGGTAACATTGGAGGAAAAAACAACAGGAAGAGTAGGAGTGAGCTGTGAGGATATCTAGGGAGGAGCATACCAGGAAACAGTCTCTAAGGGTGAAGACCCAGGGGGAGGAGAATCCTTGACTTTTGAAGCAGTAGACAGGCTAATATAGATGAGTAAGCAAAGAAGACTGATAGATGAGGTCAGATGCTTAATCCAAGGGGTTAAATCTTGAAGACCATTGTACTGACATTGACTTTTACTCTATAGTAAGCTATTTTGAGGGTTTGAGGCAGAAGAAAACCCTAATCTGAATCACTTTGGCTGCTACACTGAATAAACAGACCCCTGGGAGAAGAAGGGTTGTAGGCAAGGACAGAAACAGAAGGATCCATTGGAAGACTATGGCAGTGATCTTCCAGGTGAAAGATAGTGGTGATCAAACCAAGATGACAGCAGTGGAGAGGAGAAGAGGTGTTTTTAGAAGCAGGTCAGCATAGGTATGTTTTAAAAGTAGAACTGACAGGGTTTGCTAACAGATTCAAAGTGAACCAATGGCTCCAAGGTTTTTGATCTGAGCAGTTCAAAGCTTAGGGTTTATTTTTTTGTTTCTGTTTTTCTTTTTTAATATTTTTAGTTATAGATGGACACAATAACTTTATTTTATTTATTTGTTTTAAATGGTACCGAGGATCAAACCCAGTGCCTCACACGTGCTAGGCAAGTGCTCTACCACTGAGCCCCAGCCCCAGCCCAAAGCTTAAGATTTTGATGTACTGAAATGGAAATGAGCCAGATCATGGGTGAGGCCAGCTGAGTGTATGGAGGGCAGGGGGACAGATAGGGAGGAGATATGGAAGAGTTTCCG